ACGCGGTCGAGCGGAATATAACACTCTCTAAAGTGCACAGACATTCAATAATAACTATGATTTAGGATGACAACTTGGCATGTTCGTTGGTGCAAAGCCATATATATAAATATGTATCCTTTGGGACCAAAAATGAAGTGGAAGAAGGGACTTTGGATGCAGCGGATTGTAGTGTTGAAAAATAATTGTTCGTCCTATTCATTTATCATCTAGTGAGGTTTATGAAGTCCGACGTTATGATCACTTGAAATTACGGTGGTCGCAATTCCGTAGAGACTGGCGAGGTGCCGTTCAGCCCTAGGCATAACAAGTGAGACTTCGACTTATCGGTTCATGTCGTGGAATATCCATACGGTTATATTCTTTATATATGGCCGGCATCAGGTATACTTATGTGAAGCAGGATTTCTCGGGAGGACTTGTGGATAAGCAAGAGAAGGAGAGAGTGAAGGCGGATGTTAGTGCGAGACCCCTGCTCAGTAACAATGGCCGTGGTGCGAGTTGAGTCCAAGTTGGTTCTCAGTAGGTGGCTCTCAGGAGAGGAGGATACTCCTCCCACAGGAACCGTAACGAAGGAGGATACTCCCACAGGTTTGTGCAACCAGGGCACCGTCTCGACACGATCAATTGTCCCTCTGCGTGACATGGCGATTTCACATCAGATAATTCCACGGAGATCTGCACTGAAATGTGTTAGTCATTGGGGTTGAGAGGCTGGTTGCAGCCTACGGCCTAATTTTGAACGTGGTAGCGAGAGATCCCCAAGCCGAACGTAACATTAATAACCCAATTTCTATTACACGATCGAACGACCATTATACGTGTGTCAATGTCGTTTACCTCCTCGCTTGGGTGGAAACACCCAAGCGGATAATCATGTTAGTGATATCATCGCAGTAACTGAACCGATGACCTGGTCTCATTCACTGTATACACTTGGGTCATACCCAACTTCAACCGTTTCCCATCTTTTCCTCGCACAAGCGTCCAGGAACTCTGCGGCTTCCCATTGTGTGCGCTTGCAATAGAGTGTCTCCGCACGAAGTACTTCGCCAACTCACCAGTCTCAGTTTCTTGTTGAGTATTTTATGCGCTTCCTCAGCCTTCATGAACTCCCAGACACCATCAGAGGCTACGACGATGAACACGCTATCACTTGCCTGAAGAGGACTATGGCTACCGTCAATGCTATTTGCCATACTGGAAATTCCCAACGCTCATACTGTGGTTCCGCGATGACTCCATAACAAGCGACCGATACATCGCCAATCGCCCTAGTGACAGCCAGGCCTGATACAGATATGATGCGACCGTCCACGTGTGATCCGACCAGGCAAGTTGGTGCCTTTGACGAACACTCTTTTGTCTCCGCCTGAGATCTCCCGTATCTCTCCACCAGCATTCTCGATACGGACTGCCTCGGCCAAATCTGAGTTGACAATCATCGACTGTATATATATTTCCTACTGTCCAGTGTATGGTCCTGTGTCGCATGAACAATCTGTAAGCCGAACAACGACGATCGACCGGCGACATCCAATAAGGCAAATCTCTACCGTTTCAACATCTTTTTTGTCGTATTTCCCGGCAACAACCTTTGAGTCACCACACCAAGCCACATGAACAACCAACTTGCCGTCTACTGCATTCAAAGGCTCAACCTACGGAAAAGGCAGTCGAGCACAATAACAACTACAACGGTAGCCTACCACAACACAGGATAGGCTG